TCTTCTTCTTCCTTAGTGACATCCCACTCTACCTAAGGATGCCTTCCCCCACCTCAGGGACCTCTTCTTCTTCCTTAGTGACATTCCACTCTGCCTCAGGGATGCCTCCCCCCACCTCAGGACCACCCTGCTCCCTCTCAGGGCTGTGCACTTCACCTCAGGGACACTTTCCTCCACCCCATGGACATCTTCCCCCTCAGGGCCACCTTCCTTCATCTCAGGGCTGCCCCACTCCACCTCAGGGACAGCTTCCTCCATCCCAAGGATGCTTTCCTCCCCCTCAGGGACACCTTCTTTCACCTCAAGGATGCCCTCCTCCACCTTTGGGCCATGCCACTTCACCTCAGGGACACCTCTCTCCACCTCTGGGACATTCCACTCCACCTCAGGACACCTTTCTCCACCTCAGGGCTGCCCCACTCCGTCTCAGGAATGTCTTCCTTTACCTCAGGGACACCCTGCTCCACCTGAGGGACATCCTACTCCATTGCGGGAACATCTTCCTCCACATCAGGGCTGCCCTTCTCTATCTCAGGACCACCCCACTCTACCTCGGGGACATCTTTCTCCACCCCAGAGATGCCTTCTTCCACCTCAGGGACATCCCACTCCCCTTCAGGGATGCCTTCCTTCACCAGCAACTCCTTCCCTACCTCAGGGGCCACTCCTTCTCTGGTTACCCTTCCCCTTCCCCTTGCCCGCCTCGCTCCATTGCACCCATCTTCCAGCAACCCCGTCCCTCCCTACTCTGCTCTTCTAACATCTTGGTTGTTTTGCCCGTTTTATATAAACGGAACCAGATAACGTGGGTTTTTTGAGCCCTTTTCTTTGTCATTTCTGTTTAGAGTCTCAACATATGAATATATCTTTCTACTGTGGCTCCATCTCCTTGCCATCACTTAGTATTGTCAGACTTTTTCATTTTGGATGTCAGGGAGGTATGTAGTGACATCCCATTGTGGTTTTAACTTGTGTGTCTGTGCTAACTAATGAAGCCAAGCCCAATTTGGTTTCTTGGCCATTTACCTGTCTTATTTTGTGTAATACGTGTTCCAGTCTTTTAACCTTTTCACTTTTGTTTTGTCTGCACTGATCTGCATGAGTTTTTCCTATATTTAACATATGAATCCGTTTCTTTGAAGATGTATATCTTGTAAGTATCTTTGTTAATTCTGTGTAATATACTTGTCTTAACTCATGATTTTTGAAATGAAAAATGCTTGCTTTTGAAGATTATCAAATAAATTTGGTTCATTGTGGTTTGGGTTTTAATCTCTTTTCCATTCATTTACCATTTCTGATATACTTGTAGCCTGTTCTGTGGATTTTCCAGACCTGGGAATAGGACTGAGGTAGAATCTGTGTGAGAGTGTGCACAAATATTTACTAATTGTATTTAGGCATTTGTGCAAAATGAGCCAAGTCCCTGTACTTCAGATCACCTCCACCCCATGTCCAGTCCTAACTCTGTGGGCCATTTGTAAGTCTGTGTAACATCTGCAGGTCCTGGGTGTTGCTATCTTTTTTTTCTGATGCAGCTCTGCCCACCATCTTCTACAACAGGGTGTCCTGGAGCAGCCTGCCTTTGAGTGTGCCTCCATCCTGTAAAGGGCCAAGCTGTGAAGATGCTGCATGTGACAGGGGTTCTGGATATCGTGAGAAATCCCCACATCTTTTCTCTGTATGATCAAGAGGAGAATCCAGATTCCATGTCCACAAGGAACCCAGGGACTCTGAAAGTTTCTCATCAAAGGTTTAGGCATTTTCAGTATTTGTCGGTGACCGGGCCTCACCAAGCTGTGAGCCAAATCCAGGAGCTTTGTCGGCAATGGCTTCGGCCAGAGACTCACACCAAAGAGCAAATCATAGAACAACTGGTGCTGGAGCAGTTTCTGAACACACTGCCAAAGGAGGTTCAGGTGTGGGTGAGGTCTCGGCAGCCCAAGAGTAGCAGGGAGGCGGGAGCCCTGGTGGCACACCTGATCCGGGCCTGTGGGGAGAAAGGTAAGACAGGTGTGTCCGCTGACTGACTGCCCTCGTATGCCCAGTCCATAGGAGTGACTGTTGAATGAAGAAATGGTCTTATATATCAGGGTAATCTGCCTAATCTGATGTGAGATGGAAAATGTGGGGGGGTTGATTTTTTGCTTTGATGTTTATTATTTGAGAGTTCTGGCTTTGTCCCTTCCCCCCACATTTCTTACTCAGCCTAAACTTTAGTATCAATACAAAACAAAACTACACACCCTACCAAAAAACTAGGATCACCCTTGGAATTGACATATTTAGTGTACGTTTGGGGAAAAAATTGTCTATGGATCATTTAGTCTTTTTACTCAAATCAAAAGAATAATTTTTTAAATGAATGGCTGAATTTTACATGCAAGGGAACAAAAAATGTGGGAGACAACAAGTCCTGAAAGTTCAGTCTCTTCTAAAATTTACTGGTCTCTTTCAAAATAAAGTTATTAGATTGGAACTAAGGACGTTTCAAGAATGATAGATGAAAGGCACCCAGTCTTCGTAATCCTTTGAATGAAAATAATACTAAAAACAAAGTGTTTTGTACAATATGAAGATATCTGTATCTACCTATCCAGGGAACAATGAATACAAATCCAAGATTGTAACTATCTCTGGAAGGCAGGATAGAGCATGGACAGAAAAGAAGCAAATGCATAGATGTAAGTTATTGGGAATGTTTTAGTTTGGCACAGGCCTTAATTGTATTTAAAAATGTAAATGAATGAATTTAAAATAAATATGAGGATCATGCCTGACTCAATGCTGATAACATATCATGAGGTAAGGATCGTTAATCTAGTACTGTGTACATSTGTTTCTTATTAGAATTTCTACGATATGTGCAGTGAACATGTTGAACACTTATAATGTATTATTGTAGGTGTTTTTTGTGTATTAAATCATCTTCTTCTATTAACAGCTTTGTGAAATAGGTATTAGCCTTGTTTTATGGACCTGGAGACAATAGCACAAAGTTGAGTAACTTGCTGGTGATTCCACAGGTCTTAATTGGCAGTCGGGATCCAGAGCTAGGCCTGTGTCTGCTCTCACGGTGTTACACTGCCTCAAGTGGACATAGTGGATATTATCCCAGAGGTTCAGACTTGGCCAAGGCATGGAACTCAGGGAACAGAATTGCATAGGGTAGGAGAAGGAAACAACAATCAGTGAGCCACGCACTTGAAAAAGACTGCAGGCAAGGACGGTCCTCAAGGTTCAGGCTCTGGAGGGAAGGTGATGTTATCTTCTGAATCTGAGAATGAAAAAGACGAAACAAAGGCTCCCTGAGGGCTGCTGTTGAAAAGTGACCTACTGTCTGCCCCACATTGGTAACATTTAATCTAAGAGCTTTCAGAGGCATTGAGTACCCTTACTTCTGTTTTACAGTTGAGAAACTCAAATTCCCTGGTGATTTTGATGGAACAGTGGAACCAGAGATCACCACTGTGGAGAGAATTTTCACCATTTGGAAGGCAGTGGGGAGCCATTAAAGGGTTCAGAGCTGGGAAACGACAGTGTTCTCTTTTGGAACTTGCTCCACTGAGTAGAGGAATTATTCTGTGGTCTTTCTCTTAGTCTAGGAAGCCCAGGACTCCTGCTGCCCCCCACAGCAGGATGGGTGGTGTGAGAGTGGAAGGCTGYTCTCTGGATGCTGCGGGACAGGACTCAATTCCATGGTATCCCCTCTTCTAGGTTTCCCTGCTGAGGACTCTGTGCTTGTAGGAAATAGGAGCACCAAGGAACACCCACAGAATACAAAGAGGTTGAACAGTCGACCCTCCGGTGGCTCCCAGGTGAGTCGGGCTTTCTTGTCACTTGGTACTCAAATATGAGTCGGACCTTCTGATTTTGTCACCTCACCTATTTAGGTAAACCCCATCTTCATTTACATTAGCTCATTATATAAATATTACTCTCCTTGACCTTCTCCATCGCTACCCTAAGTTTCTTTTGACTCTCCAGTCCACTATTTCTTTTTTTTTAATATTTATTTTTTAGTTGTAGTTGGACACAAGACCTTTATTTGTTTTTATGTGGTGTTGAGGATCGAACCCAGGGCCTCGCGCCTGCTAGGCGAGCGCTCTACCACTGAGCCACAACACCACCACTCCAGTCCACTATTTCTTGCTTTCCTTTTCTTTGTTGCACTTAAACATTATCCCATATACTATATATTTTCTATCCCTTTGATTTTTTGCAGGGGGAGTGTACTGGGGATTGAACTCAGGGACACTCGACTACTGAGCCACATCATCAGCCCTATTTTGTATTTTATTTAGAGACTGGGTCTCACTGAGTTGCTTAGCATCTCGTTTTTGCTGAGGCTGGCTTTGAACTCGCAATCCTCCTCCCTCAGCCTCCCAAGCCACTGGGATTCTTGGATTATTTTTAATATCACACCTTATCTAAGTCTGTGTAGTTTGAACTATTATGCTTATTTTTATAAGTGAGAGAATGGAGGAAGGAAGAGTTAGTAACTTGCTGAAGGTCACACTGTTGTCAAATGGTAAGGCTGCGATATGAACTCAGGTAGTCTGGCTTCAGAGTCCACATTCCTTACCAGTTATTTCTAAGTAATGGCTGAAGTGCCATTACCCCAACTTAGGCTATCTAGATACGGCAGATAAACACTCAATTAAATTTGAATCTCAGATCAACAGTGAATAAATTTTTAGCATAAATATGTCTCATGCAATGTTTGGAATATGGCTTATGCTAAGAAATTATTTGTTGTTCATCTGAAATACAAATTTAGTTAGACATACTGAATGTTACCTGGCTGATCGAACTAAATTTTTAGATTTGAGATAATTGAGTCCATTGGGAAGCATGGACAGACTAGAATAGCCCAGATTTTATATTTTTAATGAAAGATAATATGTTCTACCATTATGTTTTCTCCAAAATAATGCTTAACACACACACACACACACACACACACACACGTTGTTGGTACTGGGTGTTGAACAGGAGTTCTTTACCACTGAGCTACCTCCCTTGTCCTTTTTATTTATTTATTTTAAAAAATTATTTATTTGCAGCATAATGCTATTCAATTCATTGTACACAAATGGAGCACAATTTTTTACTTCTCTGGTTGTACACGAAGTAGGGTCACACCATTCTTGAGATCATTCCACGGCCTTTCCTATCCCCTGCCCCTCCTCTCACCCACGTCCTGCGCAGGCAGTGGGAATGGGGCTCCCCTTGGTGGAGTGGGCTGGCTGAGAAATAAAAGCTAGAAAAAATAGAATGATTTAAAAAACACAGGACACAAAAAATGATTTCAAAGAGCAGGGACTGGACAGGCAAGCCAGTCATACGCATCGAGCTTCTATATCCCGCAAAATGGAGCCCACGCCTGCTTTATTTATATAGGGACACATCAAAGGTCTTCCATAGAATCTTCTTCTCCAAAAAGGTTAAAGGTGAGCTGTCCCGTTCCCACCAGTAGTGTGTGAGTGTGCCTTCCCCACACCTCGCCAACACTTATTGTGGTTTCTACTCTTGATAGCTGCCATTCTGACTGGAGTGAGATGGAATCTTGAGATAAAAATCTTAGTTTTGATTTGCATCTCTCTAATTACTAGGAATGTTGAGCATTTTTTTATATTAGTTGGTTGATTGTATCTTTTTCTGAGAAGCAACTGTTCAGCTCCTTAGCCTGTGTATTGATTGAGATGTTTGGTTTTTGGTGTTAGGTTTTTTGGGTTCTTTATATATGCTGGAGATTAATGCTCTCTCTGATGTTTCTGTGGTAAGAATTTGCTCCCACACTGTAGGCTCCTCTTCACCTCATTGATTGTTTCTTTTGCTGAGAAGAAGCTTTTTAGATTCTTCATTTTATTTCTTGTGTTCTAGGAGTCTTGTTAAGGAAGCTGGGGCCCAATCCAGCGTGATGAAGATTAGGGCTACTTTCTCTTCTGTTAGACACAGGGTCTCTCGTCTCATTCCTAGGTCCTGATCCACTGAGGTTGGTGCATGGAGAGAGAAGGGTTTAATGTCATTTTGGTACATATCATTTCCAGTTGAAGAGGCTGTCTCCTCTCAGGGTGTGTTTTGGGCACCTTTGTCTAGTATTCGACAACTGTGTGTGTGTGGGTTTGCTCTCTGTGTCTTCAGGTCTGCTTTGGTGCCAATACCATGCCACTTTTGTCACTGTGACTCTGAAGTATATTAAGGTCTGCTGTAGCGATGCCTCCTGCTGCACTCTTCTAAGGATTGCTTTGGTTATTCTGGGTCTATTATTTTTCAAAATGAATTTCATGATTGCTTTTTCTGTTTCTGTGAGGTACAATGTTTGAATTTTAATTGGCATCACATGAATCCACAGAGTGCTTTTGGTCATGTGGCCATTTTGACAACATCAGTTCTGTCTGTCCAAGAGCATGGGAGATCTTTCCATCTTCTAAGGTCTTCTTCAGTTTATTTCTTTGGTGTTCTGAGTGATCTTTGTAGAGGTCTTCCACCTCTTTTGTTAAATTGAGCCCAAGTATTTTTTTTTTTTTGAGGCTATTGTGAATAGGGTGGTTTTCCTGATTTCTCTTTCTGAGGGTTCATCACTAATGTATAGGAATACACTTGATTTATGGGTATTGATTTTATATCCTGCTACTTTGCTGAATTCATTTATTAAATCTGGAAGTTTTCTGGTGGAATTTTTTTGGATCCTCTAAGTATAGAATCATGTTGTTGGCAAATAGTGATAATTTGAGTTCTTCTTTTTCTATTCAAATCCCTTTAATTTCATCGTGATTGCTCTGGCTAGAGTTTCAAGCACGATGTTGAATAGAAGTGGTGAGAGAGGCATCCCTGTATTGTTCCAGTTTTTAGAGGGAATGTTCCAAATTTTCTCCATTTAGAATGATATTGGCCTGTGTTTAGTATAGATGGCTTTTACAATGTTGGGGTATGTTCCTGCTATCCCTAGTTTTTCTAGTGTTTTGAACTTGCTAAATTTTGTCAAAATGCTTTCTCTG